TCCCTCCAGCTTCTGGGAGTGAGGTCCCACATCACAGGGCTCCATTTGGCTCAGTTGGAGGCACCGTCCAATCGTTCGCCGATGTCCGAAACCGGGGTGCTCCTAAATAACTTGTTCCAGAGAAGGTAGTCCAAATTGGACGATGGACTATATGTCGGGTTGGCGGCCATTTGCTCAGGCGTCAGAATGCTGAGCTCGTACACTGGCAGCTCCGCAGAGGTCGAGGACGGCGGCGGCGGCGGCGGCGGCGCAGTGAGATCGCTGGCTAGCGTGTCCTTGCCCGCCTCCCTGCGGGCATAGAAGAGCGCCGCCTCCTCGGCGGTGGCGAAGCAGCCGAGGGTGACCATCTTGCCACCAGTCCTCACCTCCAGATTGTACTTCTTGCTGCCTCGCTGCTTCGGGCAGTGGCGGACGCCTTTGTAGCCGGTGTTGCTGCTGCTACTGGCGGTGAGGGCGAGGCCCTCCCTCTCCACCTGCCGTATCGCCTCGGCGCCAGCAGGAGTGGCAGCGGGGCGGGGCTGCAGCAGCTTGGCGGCGTCGGCGCGGCCGTACTCTGACCGAGCGTAAGCGGTGGCCGCCTCATCGGCGGTGTTGAAGTAGCCGAGGTGGAGACGCGTGCCGCCATCCTGCACCTGCGCCTCGAACTTCTTTTTGCCGCGGATGTAGGACACGTTCTTGTAGCCAGTCGTGCTGTTCTTGGCGATGGCTGGGATCAGCATAACGCCCTCTGACGACGCGGTCCGAGGCGGGGCCATCATGCAGCGGACGCACGTAGAATTTCGCGAGTTTAACAATTGGGATTCGATTTGGATTGAGCAAGGCAGCGCGGGAGCCTGAAATCATTGGCCAGGCAATCGTCTCGCGGGCGTTTTGGCGAGTGCAGAAACATAATGCGTATACGTAGTACGTCAGCGCCTCCAGGCTGTGGCGCCAGGAGGGGGTACGTATGCGGATACATGATACGTCATGCGTAACGCGGTCGTCGATGGGCCTGAATTGGTAAAATTATGCTGCGTAAGTGCGGGGCAGGGCAGCGCA